TACCGGGAGCGTCGTATGCCAATTACCATTTTTCTCTTTTATTAGTGTAGACTAGAAGCCTGATGCATGAAATTTGTGCAAGGGGCTTGGCCCTTGCTACCGCAGCAACTGCCTCAGCCCTCCCAGCCTTGGCTTTGTCCAGAAGGTCATCTGGAAGGATCTCTAGAAGGACATCCAGAAGGTGGTTCAGCTGTCTGGTCTAATTAGCATATTACGCTTTTATTATTATGATTAATTTCAGGTGTGTAGCATAGTGATTAGACATTTATATAATTTACAAGGTGACTCCCCCAATAGGTCTTGCACTCACCTGACACCATATATAGTTATTAAGATACTACTGATTATATTCCCAATAATCCCGACACTGTAATTTACATCCCCATGACTATTCTGTAACTGTCAATTTTTACTTTTTAATCCCTTCACCTTTTTCACCCAGCTCCCCAAACCCCTTCCCATCTGGCAACCATCTGTTTATTCATTCTATCTATGCGTTTGTTTCTGTTTTGTTTGTTTATTTTGTTTTATAGATTCCACATTAAGTGAAATCATATGTTAGCTGTCTTGCTCTATCTGACTTATCTCATTTAGCACAATACCCAGGAGGTCCATTTATGTTGTCACAAATAGTGAGATTTCATTCTTTTTTATTACTGAGTAAAATTCCATTGTCTATATATACTACATCTTCTTAGCCAATCCTTTTTCAATTGGAGCATTTAATCCATTTATATTTAAGGTAATATATAGTTATATAGAGATATGTGTAATCCATTTACATTTAAAGTAACATATATATATATGTAGTTCCTGCCATTTTATTAATTGTTCTCTGTTTTTATAGTTCCTCCCCATTGCTTACTAGAGGCCTGATGCAAGAAATTTGTGCCAGAGTAGACCCAGGTGCCAGCATTGGCTTCTCTCTGGCACCTGGGACTTGGGCTTCCCTCTGGCTGCATCTAGAAGGACAGAAGGACATCCGGAAGGATGTCTGCTCTAATTAGCATATTACAATTTTATTGTTATAGATTCTCTGCTCGTGCATGTTGATGACTTTTTGTAGTGTTCTATTTGGATTCCTTTCTCATTATTTCTTGAATATCTCTTGTAGACTTTTGGTTTTTGGTTTCCATTACTTTATGTATACCAAGCTACATTTATAATAGTCTATTTTAATTTGATCATCACTCTAAAATTACTACCACTTTTACTCACCCCTTCTATGTTTATGTTTTGTCATTATTTTTTATTTCTTTTTTTGTGTGTATTTGTGTGAATTCTTTAATTTACTGTTAAAATTATATGTGATCTTCTTACATCTGCTGTTTAAAAACAATATTTTTATTGATTTAAGAGAGAGAGGGAGAGGAAGGAAGGGATGGAAACATCAATGATGAGAAACATCATTGATTGGCTTCTCCTGCATACCCTCTACTGGAGATTGAGCCTGTAACTCTGGCATGTGCCCTGACTGGGAATTGAATCATGATTTCCTGGTTCATAGGTTGATGCTTAACCACTGAGCAATACCAGCTGGACCCTACATTTTCCTTTTAAGCTTTATACTAGTTTTAGTGTTGGTTGATCCACTGCTTTTATCAGTGAGAATTATTTTTTTGTGTGATATTTTCTCATTTATATTTTAAATTTTTTTCTCCTTAAAAATGTTCCTCTAACAATACTGATTTGCTAGTGATGAACTCATTCAGCTTTTTCTTGTCTGGGTAGCTCTTTATATGTTCTTTGATTCTAAATGATAGTTTTGCTGGATGGAGTTATCTTGGTTGTAGGTCCTTGCTTTTTATGACTGAATATTTCGTACCATCCCTTCTGTTCTGCAAAGTTTCTATTGAGAAATCAGGTGATAGCCTAATGGGAACTCTCTTGTAGGTCACTGCTTTTCTCTTGCTACTTTTATGATTTTCTCTTTGTCTTTAATCCTTAGCATTTTAATTATGATTTGTCTTGCTGTGGGCCTCTCTGTGTTCATTTTGTTTGGGACTCTGTAATTTCTTGATTTGTGTGTGTATTTCCTTTACCTGGCTAGTGAAATTTTTTGTCATTATTTCTTCACATAGGTTTTCTTTTTTTTTTTTTATATATTTTATTGATTTTTTACAGAGAAGAAGGGAGAGAGATAGAGAGTTAGAAACATCGATCAGCTGCCTCCTGCACATCTCCTACTGGGGATGTGCCCGCAACCCAGGTACATGCCCTTGACCGGAATCGAACCTGGGACCTTTCAGTCCGCAGGCCGATGCTCTATCCACTGAGCTAAACCGGTTTCGGCCACATAGGTTTTCAATCCTTACACTCACTCTCTTCTCCTTCTGGGATCCCTATGATATGAATGTTGTTACACTTAGAGTTGTCTCAGAAGTCCCTTAAGCTATCCTTATTTAAATGTATTTTCTGCTACCTTGTCTACCAAATTGCTGATTTGATTGTCTATTTAGTCTAATCTGCTATTGGTCCCATCTGATATATTTATAATTTTAGTTATTGCATTCTTCATTTCTGACTAGTCCTTTTTTATGCTTTCCATCTCCCTTTTTATGCTTTCCATCTCTTTGTTGAAGTTCTCACTAAGATCACCTACCCTTCCTCTGAGTTCATGGACACTCTTTATCAGCTGTATTTTTATTTTTATTTTTAATATATTTTTTATTGATTAAGATATTACATATATGTCCTTATCCCCACGTTACCCCCTA